TTTGAGTTTCCTCTATTCCCTAAACATTGGTGCAAGTTATTACAGGCTCGTCGTGAATATTGTGATACTTTAACTTGGGATGGACCGAGAAGTCCACCACGTCCAACATTTCTGCGAAGGTTTTGCATGAGTTACATTTGTAGAAGTTATTGCAGGAAATTACTAAGAATTATAGGTCAACCGTCTTAGTGTTTCTCCCTTCTCCCAATGTAACCATCAACTCTTTATACCCCTATAAATGAGTTCCCATGTCTTTAAACACATGTAGATCGGATCCCTCATATAGACACAACTTCACTACTCTTCTCAGTCCAAATTTCTTGAAAAGTTCGCATACATAATGTCGCAAGACCTCCCCTCCCCTCCCAAATAAATTAAGGTCATGAATACCCCAAAATTAGCCATGGTTATCGTTATCACCAAGGAGAATATCTCATTCTAAATTCCACCTACCTTTTTTCTATCTCAGAATCCGAGGATTGTCCTTTTTGGCTTCCCATTAGGGGGTTGTTCTTTCTTCTTTGCTGATTGTCATTAACTCAGAAATCCTATTATTCATAGTTCTTTTAGGGGTTTTTTCTATATGGAGACTTATAGTGATGAAAGAGACCTCTTTGAACTCAGTGTTTACGCATTCTCGATATATTTTTCCCTTTATGTGTTAAAAGGAATGTATGCAAAAAATCTAGATTGGGGTCCTCGCTCTCTATCATCTCTACGATAATTATTATCCTTTTCTAAAGCCCATACATATCTAGGGTTTCTCTCTTCTTGGATTTTATCTTCAGCTTGGATTTCTTCTTCATAATTGATATAGGTTTGAGCCCTATTCATCAGGTTACTTAAATTGCAAGCTCCCTTCAACCTTAATTTCTCTTAAAACATACAGTCTAATCTCAATCCTTTTTTAAATATCTAGAATTTTAATTTGTCACTTGTACCTATCACTTTAATTACTACCTAGGTGAATCGATTGACGTACTCTCATAGAGTTTATTTCATATTTTGCATGATCCCGCTGAGTATGACCATTATGAGAGGTTTCCTCTTTCAAATTGTGAATTAAGTCATGAAGAAATCGTACAATTTCTTCCATGAGTCTATGCTCCTGTTTGGGGGGGGGTTGAACCAAGGCATGGAATCTCCGTTGAGAATTAACCAAAGAGTTCACACTTCACAACTCCCAGGATATGGTAATAGTTTAGCTTATTCTCCACATGTTCGACGTTTTCCTCTGAATCCCCAATATTATCGTAACTTTCTAACTTTGGGGGCTTCTCAAGGAACTTTGGAATCATTGTCTATAATGCATGATAGTGGGTTCCTCTTCCGCTTAGAGGTCGTGACATATGTGTTATACCTTTCCCATTCTCTAGGAACGGTGTGTTGTCAAATTATGAAGATGGTGAATTTCAGGTGAGCTGTGGTTGTTACTCCTCCCTCTAGAGTCAGTGGAGGAGTCTAATGTCTTTTGGTTTTAAAATGATTCAGACAGTGAGGTTGCGTCTACCGAAGTCGATTATGATATGACTATATGGTCTTTTCCAGAAGTCTCCTCGCGCATAGTGTTGTTTATTGTAGGAACTCATTACATATTCTCTTTAATTATGAGTATCTTGTCTGCTAAAGCTTAAGAGTTTTGCTTTTGTACTAATTCTAGACATTATTAAATAGGTCAGCTTCTCTTTTCATGCCTAAGTTAACTTGCAGTTATTGAATGTTCATGAGTATCTCGTGTCCAAGCATTAACAATTGTGAAAGAGGTTACTACGAAGGTTGGCCTGCAAAGCCATTGCATAGGTTAGAAGAACATAAAGGCTTGAAATAGAAGAGAAAGATCTTCTTACGCATGAGCAGACAAAAAAATCACTAGAATTGAATCTTTCTTTACCGAAGGAAGAGTATGAGCTTTGTCAACTTCAACGGTCGCAAGAGTAGTGTGACATTTAGTGGCAGGTCTGATAACTTTTGATGTCTCCATGAGTTCAAGAGTTCATTATTTGATCTATTTTAGAAAGAACTTGGTGTTTTGCGAGAGAATATTGGTGATCTGTCCTTGCTGAATAGACATAGGTCTTAGTGTTGAAAAAACACAAGAAATATGTTTTGATGTTGAAAAATTATTTGAGAATGGGAGAAATTTTGTTAAGGGGTTTGATAGTGAAGCTCCCTTTGATTACGAGGAAGATGAACATGCAAGAGAGTGTTTTATTTAATTTCTCGTTCGATATTTTCGGATATGCATCTCCAAAATCTTCACTGAATTGTTAAAGAAATCAACTCAGTAAATTAAAACACCATAACGTACATAGGGTTTTACGAAGATGCTTCTTCGGATACACCCCAAATAATATACGGAGATGCATCTCCGGAATAGATTTTGAAAAAATAGGGTGATTACCTGAAATACTAAAACTGATGTGATTTTGAGTGGATCTAGAGATACATCTCTGAACACATCAAGGCATTTTTGAATTGGACGCATCATATAAGGTGGGACAAGTATTTCTGTTATTATTATTCATTTATGCCATAATTAAAATGATTAGGGTTGCAGATGAATCTTTATCATGTTTGCACCAGCAGATTGGAACTGATAGTTAAACCTGTGCCAGCATTGCATGGCAGAATGATCAGGTTTGGAGCAGACTTGGCACTGGACATTAGAATTGGAGAATCTGCCACCTCTGCCACGGCCAAACCTACCACCACGATGACCTTTTCCACCTCTAAAAGGTTGATAATCTTGCACTTAATTAGACTGACCAGTGTGAGCAGAGGAAGAATCAGTGGCAGGTGTTGGAGACTCATCTTTGTTGGTGGTTGAGGCGCAACATGAGTTAGGTTGAGAAAAACCAGATCTGGAATTGGCTGCTTCTTGAACTTGTTCAAGCGCAGTTCATGAGCCAATAGAAGAAATTCAACCTCATTAATATCCATAATTCCAAATTTACTTTCAACAACAGACACAACCAGAGAAAATTTAGCAGGCAAGCCCTCAAGAATCACATTAATATGATGTGACACAAGAATTGGATCACCGATGGATACAAGCGCATCAACAATGGTACGAATCTTCAGCAAATAGTCTTGAACAGAAAGAGTATCAAGTGTAAGAGCACGTAATTCAACATGCAGGTGGCGTGCTCTAACACGAGTTTGTTTATGAAAATAGATGAAGAGACGATTCCACCGTTCATGAGAGTGGTTACAACCAAGCACGCGTGAGAGAATTTCACTGAAAAGTGTAGATTGAAGTCAGGACAACAACAATTGGTCCTTCTGAATCCAGCGAGAATCGCTGGATTGACAGAGCCGGAACGACGAGCGGCATCATCAACAAATTTTGCTGGAACACGAGCACATACCACCAGATCTGTGAGATCATGCGCATTAATGTAAGGTTCTACCTGTTGACGCCAGAGATGGAAGTTCTTTTCATCTAGCTTCTGCACAATCTTGAGCGAGAAGTGCAAGCGGCGAGAATCATCCACCATCGACGCTGGAGACGGTGTTGATTCAGGCGAAACCCTAACAGAAGACGGAGGCGATGGCGAAGCAATTGAAGCCATGGATCGACTCAGTAATTTGATACCATATTAGAAAGAAGAATAGAGAAGAGAAGAGTTTTTCATCTATAACAGAATTATGTTATTCTGTTTTCTATTTTTTTTCAGTTAGTTACAAAAGACTCCTTGATGCTTTATATACAGCATCAAGGATAACCTGCTATTACAGGTTAGGGCACACTATAACTTACAGCTGCCAATCAAATACATAAACATAAATAGGAACTAAACTACTTATGTATTCAATAAGTGATGTTCAAATCAAAACATGACAAAAGCAAATGAAGGGTCTACTTTTCTTGCAAGCATTGCAACTAATTAAATTTATGCTTTAGTGAAGACTAGATTGGCAATGCAAGAAGTCAGATAAATGGACTTTCTGCATGAGAACGTGATTTTGTAGGATAAGCCAAATCCTAGTGACCGAGTATACTTAATGACGATCCAATAAAAAAAATATTGAAACTCAAAAAATATTGGAACAAACATTATGTACTACTACTAGTGGAGTTAGAGGCTCAGTGCTTATCTAACAATTTATTATAATACGAAGGTTAAAGCAATTCTAATTTATTTATTTTTAAAGAACATGTGATTCTAGTGTCATGAACTAACGTTTTTAGTTTTATTTCGGATATATGCCAAGGAAAAAAAAAAGGAAATTATGTATCCCCTCGAAAGTTTTCCATCTCTACTTTGTGATGCAAACGGGGAGAACCCATTTATTTCTTCTTTTCTTAATTCTTTTCAACCATTTTCCATAAAACCACATACAAAATTTCGGGTTTTTAATTGTAACAAATCTCACTTAAGTTCTATCCCATAAAGAAAATACAAATTCATGGGATTGCTAACAACATCCTAAGCTCTCATGATATTTCTTCCGTATTGTACAAGATGAAGTATGTGTTTGGTATGTGTTCAGAAATACAACGCTTGAAAATTGCTCAATCTCCAAAGATTTATTACAAAGTTATGAATGAGTCCAAAGATTTATTACAAAGTTATGAATGAATGAAAGAAAATATGCTTACCGTGAAGAAATCGCAAGTATTCACAATTTTCAAAACCATCTGTCTGCGTGCTCATGAATCATACATCAATCCAACATAGCAAGGAAGAAATATATCAACAATTGTAAAATATATAGTTGGCTAATTATGAGACAAAACTAAAATCTTCATCATGTATCTTTTACCGATACATTTCTGGTTTCCTTAAATTTAGAAAGAAAAATATGTTAAATATTAATGTACAAATTACAATTTAAAGTTTAAAGCCCTATGAGACATTTGATAAGAAATTATTTATTATACAGGAATAATAACTGTTATTATAAGGGTAGAAAAATAGTACATAGAAATAACTCTACATCTTATAATTATAACTAAACAAGTAAATACATGGACCCTTAAACTTGAAGAGCACTATTTAAAGGTCAGCATGACCAGGAATTTCATCATCACTTGATTGGGTGCCTGCTTCACTGATGTCTTCCTCATCGCTGTCCTCATCATCGCCTGTACCATTGTTGGAAATGTTTTCCTTCTTAGCATACCGCTCACAATACTCTGTCCCCATAAACACCACATTAACATTTTTAATAAGCTAAGGTAAATCAATACAAACAGACCCTTAATAATATCATAGACCAAAATCTAGATGACTTTCTGCCCAAGATATTAAACCATTCTATCTGCAACTTGAACTCTTCAAATTTAGGAGATTGATTTTATGGATTACTGTAATAGATTTGAGGCAAGCAATGCAGTAGGATCATTGACTCAAACAATTCATTATGTATAGTTCCTCTCATAAATAAAACATTATTTAGGTCTTAAGTTATTAGAAAAAATCACCATAAATAAAAAGATACTCACCTTTAACTTTTTGGTCATACAACTTTCTATCCTTCATCATTAAGGATGCTGCGTCGCCATTCAAAGGATCTGAAGCGTTTGGATAGAGCAAGAGTTGTGGAAGAAAAACTTCGAAGACGTTTAGAAGATCTGAAACAACGGAAATCTTGGTCATCTATACACATTAAGGATGAGATTCCATATAATCCTGTTGAACTTTTCACATAATTATTTACCAACATATGAACAAAAATGACAGATCAATAGAATTTGAAACGTCAGATACTTGAAAAACTTTTTACAATGAAAAAAGCCTGCAACAAAATTACCAAACATTGGACTCCATGATTGGTTAATTACGTCCAAGCATACAGAGCCAGATCTGCAGTGGACAAAATGTAAACTTAGAATCAGTCATAATCCACAGGTTTCTGTGAAGAATTTGTATACCCCGCTTGTAAAAACCCCAAAATAAAGGCCAAAAACAAGAGAATAGTGGTGTGTACACCAGAAAAATAAAAGAAAGCAGTTCATATATCATGGGCCCATGGGTAGGAAGGATAGCTCAACTGCCATGAACTAATTGAACTAAGGGTTAAAAGGAGTTGGAGGTAAAGGGTTCAAGTATTAAATCCAGTGCCAACCCAGAACAGTGCAAAAATTACATTAAATAAAAAGATTGATAAGCAAATGAAGTGCTCACAACTCATCAACATTCGGGTGGTATATTTTGTTCACGAAGCCGATAGAAGGGGATTTGTAAGGATATGCATCAGGAAGTTCAACACGAATCTTCCAAACTCCACCTTCATAAAGGCCTGCAACAATTACAAATGTAACAGATCAATGAATAACCGGATAACTTAAAGAGAAGTATAAGAAATGTAAATCTTCAGGGATAGCAACACACAACTAATTAAGGTATAGACGGAAATTCATGATACAGAGATAAAGGAACTTCTAATTAAGGTTTGCCCCTCCTTTTGTTTTCCTTGAGGGAGTAAAAAGGATTTTTTAAAGAAAATCTTCATCTAAGCACTATATTTTTAATTATTTTTACTTTCAAGAGTGATAGCAACACACTCTCTAACACTCTCCCTCAGACACTTCCTTTATGCTTAGGTAAACTTTACACAAGTCCCACAATTTAAAGGATACATTTTCAAAGTGGCGGGTGGGACCCACATAAATTTCACCTAATAATGGGAGTATCGGAGGAAGAGTGGTGCTAAGCAACGTGTTGCCAACACTTCTCTTTTTCAACTTTAAGTGCAGTTTCATCAAACAAAAGACTAGGTCAGCTCTAGAATATTGACAGTACTTTCTTTAGGACCATTAAACTCCACATTGAACTCCGTGAGTCCGTCATTTATCGTCTCCACTGTATAATCACTCATCATCCTGTAGAAAGGAAAGGAATATTAGAGAAATATGACTGAAAACTTTTGCTAGGAATGAATCATGCTATCAACAGAAATAGATAATATGTTAGTATGATAGTAAGTGATAGTCTCAATTCACCTAATAGATATAAAAGTGAACAATCACACTCATTCGCTTGCTAGCTCAAGACTGATGATGAAATCATAATTGGGCTTGTCTGAGCAATGCCAATTCACATACAATTAGGATTGTTTGAACAATGCCTCAAAAGTCCAATCCTGTTAGGATTTAAGATAATGAGGAGTTTGTTAGGACATGGGACAAGAGTGAAGTTAATTAGGATGTGTGATAAGATGAGTTTGGTAACAATATAGGATAATGAGGAGCTAATTCGGGAAGTTTGTTAGAATTATCTTGTATAAATAGGAGATTTTGGTGTTGGAGAGATTCTCTCCTATTCTAATTTTCTTAATGCAATTGTACTTTCTATTACATTCAGTTCTTGGGTTCCGCCTGACCAATCCATTGTCAGCTTGTTTTTCACTCCTTATAAAGGCAGACACTTCCCAACCACCATTTTAGTAATGCCTTTGAAAGCATGTAGCTTCACATTTTTATTCTGTATTACTAAATACTAAACTAAGTACATCCATATGTTTTCATAATCAATCCCTGTCGTAAATTTTAGTTGTTTACTCTAATTAAATAATACATTTAGCAACTAATTCAAACTTGGGCCGCACACTCTGATCCAAGTATCTAAAACACCACCTACCAGTCTACTATGATACTATATAGTTTCCCCATCAGAACACTGACAAAGCTGCCCTAACTTACTGTATCAATAATGCCACTGCAAAGTTAAAACTAAATCATAACTAAAAAGTGGGACAACTACGACAGAAAGCATTAGATGTAATTAATAAGATTGGTAGAGGAAGGTAAAGAGAATGCAGGGAGAATGAAATCATTTTGTAATGAGAATGTACTTTTACTTGAAACTAAACTACACAGGGTTAAGTAACAACAAAAATATCTTTAAGAAAGCAAGCTGGGCGAGCTATACTTCAAGTGATTAAAATGCATCTTGTCTCTTATACATCACATATTTTCCTATAATGACTGTCTTACTGCAAACGAGCAGTTTATTTCCTGTAAAATGGCAGTTTAGCTTTTAGATCGACTCAACCATGAATAGAAAAACTATAGATTCTTCCCTGGAAGTAAAATAACCAATTAAAAAAGTTCACCCATATTTTGAACTTAATTTATGGATCAAGCAATACCTCCATAGATATAACCATATCAGTGTGCCAAATTTTCTTCTTCACCACATTAATAGTCAAAATAAAATTCAATCTAATCTAGAACATATTTCAATTAATTTGATAAAATACAGATTTCCAGCAACTTGTAAAAAAAATTCAGCAGTAAAACAGTTAACTCACAATTTCATTACATCCATTTCCCGTCTCTTGCTTGGAGATGACATTTTGACAACAATAAACCCACTTATTTCAACCTGCCACAGACAATTAAGGTAAGTTACTTTTCTGGCTAAGTATGCATGTTTGTTATGCCTTCACCACAATGAAAGGTCTCTATTCCAATAAGCACCCTTTAAGCTCAATAAATTTCCATTAAATTTAGAAGATAATGCGAAAGAAATAAAAAAGAAAGCCAGGGTTAAATGAGAAAAACTTTTGCCAGATTATGCTAAAAGATATAGAGAAGCAGAAAGCCAGAGTAGATGAAAAAACATGAAAATTGATTTGATGTTAAAATCTAGGATAAACAGGTGTGTATATACCAATGCATCAAGAAACAAAGGCACTGAATAACCATAGAAAAATATAGTATAACAGAAAAGAAAACTTTTGCATTGAGTGTGTGTTTGAAAAATTAATAAACCACGGTGAAAACATATGCACTTGAGAGAACCTTGCTTAACTCATATCCAAACATGCTATGAATGATCAAAAATCACAAGACAAAAGCAATGAAAAAGCTAAAAATTAGATACAAATGAAGGAAATGGCCTCAAATAAAACAAACTAAACATTTTCAATCAACAATGCGGATCCAGATGGAGAGAAGACAAACAACTCGAGGAAGACCCAAAAAGACTATAAGAGAAGTTATCAAGAAGGATCTCGAAATTAATGATTGGGATAAAAGCATGGTCCTTGATAGAACATTATGGCGAAAGTTGATTCATGTAGCCAACCCCACCTAGTGGGATAAGGCGTAGTTGTTGTTGTAATGTGGATCCAAACTAGACATATACATATATAGGACAGCAAGTTAAATCTCAGACAAACCAATAACTTTCACTTATTCATGATGGATATAGACCCAATAACAAAAAGGACATAATATACAAAGTAACATTTACAAAAGGACATAGTATACAAGGGAACATATACAACATTGGGCTCGGAACCATGAATGATCAATCTAACATTTAATCATCAAATCAAAACAAAAAGAACAAAGAGGAAGTTGAGATCCATCTTAGGATAGAAACTACCATTACTTAAAAAGTATGCATTGCCCACTAGGCAATCACGTCAACTATAAGTAAACAAACAGCAGCATAACATGGTTAAATTTCAGTCAGATCACTATGCATATTAACTAATAGATCACTATACATACGAACAGATGATTATTGGATGATTGGATTATGAGTTCAGCAAAAGCAAAATCACGGTGACAGTGATTCTGTTAAAGGTACAAAGTGTATAGCTTTTGCCAAATCAATCTTGCTGCCAATTATGCAGTTAGAAGTTTAATGACAAATTTACACTAAACTCCAATAAAGGGTAAGAAAAGATGAATCAAATAGTTATTGCAATGATAGAACCAATGTGGCACAAGTTCAAGCTTCATCAGGCACAAAGTACAAACACATGAATGTTAACATCTTTTGCACACGACTATGTGCATTTCAAAGTTCTAAATTCCCGGAAATTCTTATTTGACTTTAATCAACTTCGCAAAAACCAATGCGGCAATAAAAAGGTAAAATAAAAATATTAATTAACAAAAAAAGAAAAACAAAATAGAATCCACCGATTCAAAGATCTACGGCGGCTTATTGAACCAAAAACGAAGAAAAAGAATCGGTAATTTAAAGTATGGTTCAAAATTCAAATAGTGGAAAATCAAAACCCAGGAGAGGATTTATACACAAAATTGAAAAGGTTAATTGAGAATGAGGAAGTGAGAGTGAGAAATGAAGGCTTGCCTGAAACCCTAAACGGCGTTACGCGATGGCGTTTGGGATAAGAGTGATTGGGAAGAAAAGAAGAAAGAAAGGAAGAAAGAGAGGTGGTAGAGAGAGTTAGGAAAAGATATATATAAATATAAAAGGGGAGAAGGTTGTGTGAGAGAATGAGATAAAAGGATGAAGATGGAAAACCACGTGTTACCAAAACCTTACATTAGCGTGGCAATTATGTCTTTACAATACCATTCTTACGCTTTTTTTTAACAGCTTTAATTGATTATTTGTATTTTTTTTTTTTTGTTAAAATTAATTTAACTGAAACTGGTTTTGATTTTACATAATTTTGAATTTTTGCGATGGTGCCATTCTGTCGACATAAACTTTGGTTTTATAAATAATTATTATTAGTGTTGATTAGGGTCAACATTTATCTTAAATTATTATATATTCTTTGCGTAATATTTTTTATTTTATTTTACATTGTTAATTTATTATTATTTTTATTATTTGTTTAACGGTTATTATATTATTATTATTACTTTGTTGACTAAGTTAATAAAGGGTTTAAAACTTTAATGTCAAAAGCTTTTTAGATTTTTGGACTCTTCGTCAAAGCTTAGAATTTCATGGATTGAAAATTAAATCTTTTCAAAATATTTGATTGTGGAAATTATTTTATTGATTGAATTTGAACTTACAACAGATATAGTCTAGATATATTACAAATTTCGCAAATCTTAAATTCTAAATCAAATCTGCAATTACAATCAATTACAAATCAATCTAAATCGAAATTGCAAATCACTGATACAAGTTTTCTAATTGGTCTAACTCTAAAACATATTTAAACCTAAGACTAAAACAGAAATAAAGACAAAAAAACTTGGAGGAACCCTTGCATTGTTGTTGTGCAATCCCTACCCTCATCAAAACTCTTCATTAAAAAAAGTGGATTAGGATTCATCATTAGAACCCTAACCCCTTTGAGCTAGGCCTCATCATCGTACCTGCGAAAAGAAGAAGAAATGGATTAGAAGAAGAAGATCAGAGAAATACAAAGGAATTCAAATTACAAGAAGTCTCACGACAGGAGAGTAACTTTAGAACACTTAGCTTTAGGGTTTTTTAATTGTTGTTGTGTTCGCGTGATTGATGTTGGATTGTGGTATCTCTCGAATTTTGGGAATTTTTCTGAGTTTTTAGGGTTAGGGTTCCTCGTTAGAATTTTAGTTCATGTGATTCTTGGGGTTAGAGTATTTGTTGTTAGGGTTAGGGTTTAAATTCATAGGGTTCTTAGGGTTTGGATGACGTTCCCGACAGACGTTCATTCGTGATAGTGACCTTGACGGCCACCCACGGCGGACAAGGGTTAGGGTTATTAAGCGCCACCTAGGGTTTTAAGGTTTCTGGGTTTTGGTTGAAGATCCTGGTTGAACTTCAACCGGAGATCTGGGTATTCACGGCGAATGGGTGGTGGTTCGTGGCACCTCAGTCGGCTGAGGCAATTTCCGGTGAGGAAATCTTAGAGAGAGGTCAGAGTCTCTCTCTCTAAGATTGTTCAAGTGGGAAGATGGGAACGAGTAGAGAGAGGGAGGAGAAAAGAAAAAAATGATTTTTGTGAAGAGATAGCATTTAAATACTCCTATGTTCATTCTAATCATCTCATGCACGCTCTTCCACCATACACTCGTAGTCAACATTTGATCATGGCCATTCGTTTGGATTACTCAAGATCAGCGCTCCAGGATTAACTCCTGGCAGCCTTCTGATCTCGATCAAGCGTTCTCTATTACTTCAACACATAGTAGTCTTCTGGGTTGTCCCTACCACATCCAAACGGATCTGATAACATTATCTGTACCTCAACCCATTATATTAGCACCCCCAAATTACTTCTTTAACTATAATTCACACCCCCTGGCGCCTTTGGATCAGGCTAAATATATGGGCTTAAGCCTTTTTCGTTTTACACACCCCATTTTACTACACTCAATAAAATACACCTCTGTGTTTATTTAGATTATTTATTTAATTTATTCATTTGTTTTATTTAATTTATTTAATCTATTTATATCATATATTGATCAATTTTCTTCTCATATCATCTTTTATCATTTGCATTAAAATATATTTTTTTATTTATCATAAAAAATCATGTTGATAAATAAATATTTACCTATTTTTATAAATATTCAATATATTTCTAATAATAAGGAATTAATTATTTACTAACTATTTTCTAAAATACTAACCATTTTTTATCAATTCATCAAATATTTCTTTCATCATTCAAACTTTTTTTTTTTTCAAAATTGCATCATATATTCAAGACATCTAACCAATCAAACCTAATATTTTTCACTAACATAATTTCAATTTCAATATTATTTTCAAAAAAAAAGATTGTGGGTATATTTTCTAAATTAACTGTGAACTGCATTTACGACTACGATATTTTTCAAACTCAGACAAGGTTCAAGGATAATTCTAAAATATTTCCACAATCCATAAAAAAAAACTAACCAAACACATACGAACCATGAATTTGAACATTGATTCTTCGCAAGGAGATACGTAGGCACACAGTTAAAAGCAAGGTGAGTTCATAACTAAAAAATTAAACTTTTTCTCAAATATATGGAAACAATAACAGTTAAATAGAAAATTCTCGATCTACCCTTAGACCTAGAAATGGAGCCCCTTGGGAACAAGGGAGATGAAGGGTGCCTAACACATTCCCTTCGTCTAATCAACTCACGAATTTAGAATCTCTGTACAAATTAGGGTTACCCGTTATTTTCTCGTCCTTAGGATAAAAATTAATGGTGGCGACTCGTATTTTTGTCAGTTACGACAGTTGTCGACTCTGCTGGGGACACAACCCTAGGGTTAGAGTTTTCCCTTATGTTTTAGGTCTAGGGTTTTATGGGTTCTTTTTATTTATGGTGTTTTGTTTCCATTTTTTATTGGTTTATTATTTATTTATTTGTTTACCGCTTTATTATCATTTTGTTATCATATTATTGTTGGTGGATTTTAAATTTTAAAAATATCAAACCTTAGAAAGAAGGATTGTCAATTGGCCAAGGGGGTTTAACATCCCTGTCAGTTTTTGCATCGACTTCGCCTAGATTCGGTTGGGTTCCAAGCAATATCTTTTAGACGACTAGACTCTCTTGGAGGTAGGACTTGGGGAGTTGACCAATGACTCTTTGTATAACCCTAAAATAAAATCTCATGGTGAGACATTGTACGAACTAAGAGACGAAAGTCTTGATCCACAAAGAGGCTTCACTTAAGGAAGGCCCTTGTTCCTTTTCCCTTTGGTGTTATCTATGACCTTAAGGAAGTCACCCTTATGCGGAGGGTAGAATATCCGTAGGACAAAACTAGGAACCTACCTACTAAGGATATATTTCATAATCTCACCACCATGTTACATCATCATGCATACATACATCTTACATTTTCAAAAAAATCATTATTTTTTCATTTGTGTTATCTTATTCACAAGATTCATAAGAAAAAATAATCAAAGGTGTTTGGTGAGTATCCTAAAGATAAATACCAATAAGAAACAAACCATCTGAGTTAACATCGTGGTTCCTAATATGAAGAAGATTAAACTGATTAGGGGGAAACTAACAGAGAAAGCTATGAAGATGTTTGTTCGGCGCTATAGGGACACCCTTGAGTTGACCAAGATAACTGTGCAAGTGGAAGCATTCACTGCCCTTGCTCAATTCTAGATCCTCCACTAGGATGTTTCACTTTCCAGAACTTTCAACTAGCGCCTATCTTGGAAGAATTTAATAGGATCTTGATTTCTCTAGGATCAAAGGTGAAGCTTACATAGGGATTGGCCAGACTATCAGTGAAAAATTTGGCTAAATAGATAGGGATATTGTTTACTGATTTGGTGCTCAATTATAAAAAAGATGGTGAAGTCCAAGGGATTAAAAGACAATACTTAGAATCCAAGACTCTTTCTTTTACTGATAAGAAATAATGAGAAGCTTTTGTGGACTGTTTGGCACTACTAATTTTGGGTTTGGTTTTATTTCCAAATACTATCAACTATATTAATTCTGTGGCCATTAAAATATTTTGGACCGTAAAGGTGATAAATGATTATCCTACTTCTACTCTACTTTCTGATGTTTATTACGCCCTTCATACACGTTATGAAAAGTGGAGGGGTGTGATAAATTGTTGTATTCCTCTCTTATACTCTTGGCTCATTTTTCACCTCTACAAAGAGGATTACATGGTTAAGGACTTAACAAAGAATGAATGGTCCCAAAAGTTGAGAGCTCTTAGTGCTGATTCTGTTTTGTGGTATGCATGGAAAATGAATATAGGAGAAATTTTCTTTAATTATGGGGAATTTCCAAATGCTCCTCTGATTGGGACAAGAGTATATATCAACTATAACCCCATTTGGCTTTATGTTAACTTGTGTATTCTTTGGAAGATAAACCTTCCAACAAGCAACTTCAATAATTGGTTTTTTATGACATGGATAAGAGCAACCCCGAGCTACTCAAGAAAGTCATACAAACTTGGGGCAAGGTTCACAAGAAAGGTGCTGAGTTTGATAGGAAGAATGTTGTGGCAAGGGAACCTTATACTCAATGGATTTTGGAGAGAGTCTGAATCATCAAGCTGACATTTGATAATGATCTTACATACACACTAGACATACCAGATCCCCTTCTGATGTCAGTGGAGGAGATAGAAGAGCTAAAGAATACCCTTGAGAAAGCTCAAAGGGACAAGGAGAATTTAGAACATGACCTTTATGACCTTACTATTGAGAAGAATCAGTTACAACAAATTTTTTTGTTGAAATACCAACAAATTAATAATGACCGTGAATTGGCTGAAAAAGAAAGGTCTAAACGAAAGTGTACGACTGAGGGGTTGCTAAGGGCCCCATTTATTTTCAAAAAATGTTTTCAATTAATAAAAGTTATGTTTTGCATTCAATTAAGATCCTTGTCTTTCTCTTGCATTTCTCTTTTATTTTTCAAAATGGAAATACTTTTTCTTCATACGCACTTTCCAAATTTGCATTCTAAAAAGCACTAAAACATGATAAAATATGCAGATCCACGTCTAAATTCACTGATAATGATACTACTACAATCTGATATGATTTTGATACGCCAATTAACCAAGCTAAAGAGGAAGATGAGGAAGATCTTGAACTCTCCGAAAAATTGGTGAGGTTACTAGAGCAAAAGGAAGATAACATTCAACCGTACCAGGAATCTATTGAGACCATCAATCTTGGGACCGAAAAGGACCCAAAAGAAATTAAGCTAGATGCAAAGTTGGAGGAAAGTGTTAAATAAAGGTTGATCAATATTCTACATAAATACATGGATATATTTGCTTGGTCTTACCGAGATATTCTTGGTTTGGATATAGATATCGTAGTGATGTTTCTCGCGAACAATCACTAGCCTCTTATTAAAGGTTACTTGCAGAATCGGCTACAATAATCCTAAACTTAGTGTTTTGAGTATTTTGAGTTGAAACTGGATAAAAGGGAAAAAGTAAAGGACAATTACAAGGTAAAGAAAATAAATGACAAGACTTGTAATTTAAAATGAAAATTGGAAATTACTTTGAATTGAAATGTGGAAGCATTCATACATTGTTAAGCTTGAATTCGTTTCTCTCTTAGATGCAGGTACTTTGAGTGTAATGCTCTAAATGTGAATAAATGCAACCTCTAACACAAATATAAATGTTTTCTTAAATATAAATTCTAAAAGTGTAACCGTCGACGGTTACTAGTCCCACATTGGGATTCACGGAGAAACTGCCATAAACTGCTTTAAGACATTCCCACGTTCTTGCTGGCTTGTGAGTTGATAACTACTATTGCCACAACTTATCATTGCCTATCGACATTTATGTATGCCAATCCTGCCTTCAACACCGGTGTCTTTGTCGACTAGACTTCCTAGTTTAAACATTTCTTTTGCCTTTGTCGACATATCTCATTGCTCTTTATGGAAACGTGCCTATCTAAACCAAGATACCTTACAACTTGAGGGCTTACTTACTTTATCGAACATTGCTTGTCAACAAATCTCCCCCAAAAACGCCACGTTCAATGGAGCCTATGTCGACGAGAGAACTTTGGCATTTTCTCTTCCAAGTTTTCGACCACATGTCTCCTCAGTATGACGTCATGCATAATCATGACTACTTTCTGCGCAACAGTTTCCCATATCAATCAATCACTTTCCATGATTACTCCTAGGTTTTAGGGTGCAGGTTTTCCAATGAACCCCACTAACTTTTCCATTTTTTGGCATGCTCACTCCATATCGAGTGACACTTATTTCTATTTTAACAGCTTTAAACTCTATTTAAATAGATCTTTAAAAAATTTCAGTTCCTTTCTTCTCTCCTTCTGCTTCATTTCTTCAAACTCTACAATCTCTGAAAATCTTGAAGAGACCTACTCTGTTCTTTACAATGGACATTCCATCTGGTACTCCCTTCAACACTGGTAATAACCCCATAGCCTTCTCTATTTCTTCGGAACAAAGTTTGGACTTCATCCCAGAGCCCCCGTCTAAGGTGAAATCCAAGATCAAAGAATGGAAACACCAAATGCTCATTCCCTTTATTTTTGTGAAGAAACTCTTCGCATTCCATGGGCCTTATCCAACCCAAGAGACGTATCTTAAAACTGTCAATAAGTATTTCCCTTGTCTTACCCCTATTATTCCCTCTACGTTCAACCATACAAAACCCATTAATGTTAGGTTTATGGTTTCTGATGACATGGTGTTCACCTCCATATATGTTCCAGGAGATATGGTGTATCTCTCTTGGCTCAATAAAGTCCAGGGTAAACTGAGATCTCAACGGAAGAAGCTTGGCATTTTTGATGTTATTCAAATTTTGCGGAGCATCCATACAATTGATCCCAACTTTATTCTCGCTTCACTCTTCTTTTGGGAAGGTTCGACCTGAAGTGGTGAAAAACACAAGAAGGGGGAGTTGAATTGTAAAACTGAAATCTAAAGCAATGAACACGATATTTTTATCCTGGTTCGTTTGATCTCAAACTACTCCAGTCCACCCGTCAAGGTGATTTTGCCTCTCTCCAACGAGGTCTTAATCCACTATATTCAACTGAATATTACAGACTGCTTTAACAACTGCTAAAGCCTTCTTGATTCAAACCACAACCCGGTTTGTCAAGGTAACACTTTCTTACAAAGAGATAAGACTATGTGTGTGGATGTTTTCTACAAAACTTTATCACAACTGTGATGTATACACAAATTGAAGCTTAGAAACTAGATTGCTAAACAGTAATGGAATATCAGAGTGTATGGTTTAGCAAAACTGGTAGAACGAAGATTATGGTTCAGCTTTTGTGCGTGTAGAGATTTTGAGAGCATTAACCATTTCAATCTTCAAAGCTTTGTTTATATATAGCGCTGAGATGATGAACGTTGGATGCAATATTCTTGATTCAATGCTAATAATAAACTTTCCTTATTGAGCAGATCTTGTCTGGAATGAAGCCGTTGGAATTAATTTGCTTTCAATGCACAGTACCGTTGCTTACTTAGTGCAAGTTCTGGCTTGGCTCATTCTGACTTTGCTTCGCTGCTGATGAACTATTGTGTTTCTGTATCAGAGTGTTGAGCGCAGTCTTGTTCATCAGGCTTCAGCATGTACGTGAGTTGATCATCTGATTTTGACGTTCTGATGTAGCAACTTCTGATGCTGGTGTATGAAATCAAATTCTGATGCTGAATAGATGTGATCTTGCTTATATCAATCAGAGTATCTGCAAGTCAGAACATAATAATTTTAGGCAGCAGATAGTTCATACATGAAACTTATAAATACTATATCTTTTCACTTTGTTATCATCAAAACTTAAATATAGGGTAGTAGATTCAAACTTTGTTCTAACAATCTCCCCCTTTTTGATGATGACAAAAACTAGATATTTTAAATGAAAATAACGTGAAAAGGTATTTGGAATATGTATCAGAATAAGAAGTAAAAGAATAAGGAGTAAGGAAATACTCCCCCTGAGTTTATTACTTCCCTTTGATTATACGTGTTCTTCAGGATCAGATCTTTTTGCCTTTCTTTGAACATCAGAGTATCAGAGTCTTTGACTTATCAGAAGCTTTATGTCAGAGTAGAGCTTCAGAGCTTTTCTTGTCAGAGCTTTGCTTTGGATCAGAATATTAGGGCGGATCAGAACTTCATATTGATCAGAGCAACTTCATATTGATTAGAGCTTCTAGTCTTCAGAGTGTCCAGGAGCTTCCTTGTGCCTGTAGACTTTAAACAAAACAGAAAAAACATTTCAAGTAATAAAGTTAGAATGTTTGAGAATTTCTGTCTAGTTAGCCGTTATTGATTTAAATATCATTCTTGTTCTCCCCCTTTTTGTCAGCAATCAAAAAGTGTTGGTGATGTGCTAAAACAATTAAGATCAGAAAAAACTAATCATATTAATATAGTTCAGAATCAAAACAAAAAAATATTACAAAAACATAATCAAACAGTACATCAGAAAATCAAGGAAAACATGAAAAAGGTTATGCATGAAAGAAAAGATTTAAGGTTGAGGAGGCAAGCGTGTGAACGGGCTCTCCAGCATCGCTTGAATCTTTTCAGAAGTCTCATTCTGTTTATGCACCATGCTGACAACAGTGTCAATCTTTCATCCATCCGCTGCTGCAGACGCATGTCATTCAGCCTTAGTTCTTCCAGAGTCTGCCTGTCCAAGGCAGCTTGAGAAGCATCAGAAGGAGGAGGCTTCTCAGAACTTTCAGCAACATCCTCTGCTTGACTGTCTTCAGCTTGAATGGTCTTGTCTTCTTCTGATTGAATGAGAGATTAATGTGCTTAAATAGAGTTTTCAAAACTATTTTGAAAAGATAAACGTTTTTAAGAGAGAGAAAAATCATGATTGCCATTTAAAAGCATGATTACTTTTCATTAAATGCTTGCTGATTTTGGGGGATTTGAGAAAGATACTTAAAAACGGTTACCAGACATGTGTCTCAATGCACCCAATCAGCGCTTTGCCTTCTCAGAAGCGTGCACGCGTTCTGCTTCAGAGATATGCTGATGATTGGATGACACTTGTTTGATGTAGTGATCAGCACGTCTGTCTTTGAGCTTAGACTCTCAGATCTTTAGACTTGCATCTGATACAATCTGCATGTTCTATCTTTCTGAAAGGAGATTGATCAGAAGTTCACAGTAAAATAATTACATTCTGAAGGTAAATATATGGAATTAAAACATTTTCACTCTGGGCACACTTTCATGCTGAGATGTTTCAGAATGAAATTAAACCTATCTTCTGAAAGGGGTTTAGTAAATATATCAGCCCATTGATGGTCTGTATCTATAAATTTTAAGTTCAAAATACCTTTCTGAATATAGTCCCTAATGAAGTGATGTTTTATTTCTATATGCTTTGCTCTAGAATGTAAAATGGGATTCTTACTTAAGCAAATAGCAGAAGTATTATCACAAAGTATAGGAATGTTACTCTCAAAAATCTGGAAGTCTTCAAGCTGACTTTTCATCCAGAGCATTTGTGTGCTACATCCTGCTGCTGCTATGTACTCAGCTTCTGCTGTTGACAGAGCAATTGTTGATTGCCTTTTGCTGGACCAAGAGATCAGATTTTCTCCCAGAAACTGGCAGCTTCCAGAAGTGCTTTTACGTTCCACTCTGTCTCCAGCAAAATCAGCATCACAGTAGCCTACTAAGCTGTAATCACTAGATTTTCTATAAAACAAACCCAGATTAGTAGTACCTTTCAGATACTTGAAAATTCGCTTAACAGCTGTTAAGTGAGATTCTCTAGGATCTGATTGGAATCTAGCACAGATACAAACACTGAATAATATGTCAGGTCTTGAAGCAGTCAGATAGAGGAGAGAACCAATCATACCTCTGTAGACTTTCTGTTCTACATTTTTGCTTACCTCTTCTCTTTCCAGAATGCACGTGGGATGCATTGGAATCTTTGATGGCTTACATTCTGACAGGTCAAATTTCTTCAGAAGATCTCTGATGTATTTGCTCTGATGAATGTAAGTTCCTTCTGGAGTTTGATTGATCTGAATTCCCAGAAAGAATTTCAGTTCCCCCATGAGGCTCATCTCAAATTCTGCCTGCATACTCTTAGCAAATTTTCTTCCAAGAGAAGGATTAGTAGAACCAAAAATGATATCATCAACATAAATTTGACAGACTAAGATGTCACTCTTAACTGTTTTACAGAATAGAGTAGTGTCCACTTTCCCTCTGGTGAATTCATTTTCAAGCAGAAAGTTACTTAGCCTTTCATACCAAGCTCTGGGAGCTTGTTTCAGACCATACAGTGACTTCTTTAGTTTGAAAACATGTTCTGGATGTTTTGTATTTTCAAAACCTGGGGGTTGGTGAACATAAACTTCTTCTTCTATATAACCATTTAAGAATGCACTTTTGACATCCATCTGATACAGAGTGATGCCTCTATTAACAGCAAATGAAATTAAAAGTCTGATAGATTCTAACCTAGCGACTGGGGCAAAGGTTTCTGTATAGTCTATCCCCTCTTGCTGACTATAACCTTGTGCAACCAGTCGTGCCTTGTTTCTGATGACTTCACCTTGTTCATTTAGCTTGTTTCTGAACACCCATCTTGTTCCAATGACGTTGAATCCTTTTGGTCTGGGAACGAGATCCCATACGTCGTTTCTGGTGAATTGATTCAGCTCTTCTTGCATTGCCAGAATCCAGTCATTATCCAGAAGTGCTTTATCAATAGAAGAAGGTTCAATCAGAGACACCAGTCCCATAAGAGTTTCTTCAGAGTTTCTGAAGCTTGCTCTTGTTCTGATTGGATCTTCCTTTCTTCCTAGGATAGTCTCTTCTGGGTGATCCAAGCTGCTTCTGGGTAATCTCTTCTGAGGTTGATCAGCAGCTGTTGTAGGATTTCTAGCAGTGCTCCTTTCAGACGTTGAAGGAATGTCTGTGTTGAGAGCTTCTGATGACTTGTCTTCAGAACCTGCAAATTCAATTTCTATACCTGCAAAAATTTCATTCTGCTTTGACTTTTCAGAGTCAAGCTTATCATCAAAACGAACACTGATTGATTCTTCCACAATCTGTGTTTCTGTATTGTATACTCTGTACCCTCTTGAGCGTTCAGAGTATCCTAACATAATACACTTATGTGCCTTAGAGTCAAACTTGTTCAAATAATTCTTTGTATTTAATATAAAGCAAGTACATCCAAATGGATGAAAATATGAAATGTTGGGCTTTCTGTTCTTCCACAATTCATATGGAGTCTTTTCCAGAATAGGTCTTATTGAGATTCTATTCTGAATGTAGCACGCTGTGTTTATTGCCTCTGCCCAGAAGATCTTAGCAACGTTTGTCTCATTGATCATGGTTCTGGCCATTTCTTGCAATGTTCTGTTCTTTCATTCTACAACTCCATTTTGTTGGGGAGTTCTAGGACAAGAGAAATCATGCATAATGCCTCTGTCATTAAAGAATGACTCAAAATCTTTATTTTCAAATTCTCCACCATGATCACTTCTGACTTTAACGATTCTAAGATCCTTTTCATTCTGAACTTGGTTACAGAAGGTAACAAACACAGAGTGTGACTCGTCCTTGTGTCTTAAGAACTTTACCCATGTCCATCTGCTATAGTCATCTACGATTACTAACCCATACTTCTTACCACTGACTGAAGCAGTTTTAACTGGTCCAAATAAGTCAATGTGCAGAAGTTCTAATGGCTTAGAGGTAGAAACAACATTTTTGGATTTAAAAGAAGGTTTTGCAAATTTGCCTTTCTGACATGCTTCACACAAAGCATCTGAATTGAACTTCAAATTAGGAAGTCCTCTGACCAGATTGAG